TTACAGCACTTTCACGCTCATCCCATCCCTCTGGAGTCCGGCGGCTCCACCGACATCACGCTACGCTCATATGTACAAGTCCATCACTCGCCCACAGGTACACAGTACACACAACACAGCACACACACACAGCCACACACAGCACACACACACACACACTGCCACACAGCACATACATGCACATGCACATACACACACACACACACACACACACAGCCACACAGCACACACACACACACAGCCACACAGCACACAGCACACACACACAGCACATACATGCACATGCACATACACACACACACGCACACACACACACAGCCACACACGCAACACACACACAGCCACACACGCACACACACACACAGCCACACACGCACACACACACACAGCCACACACACACACAGCCACACAGCACACACACACACACAGCCACACAGCGCACGCACACATACACACACACACACACGAGGTGAGGAGTCAAGATCCCTTCTGAAAAGCAGCTGCCAGGACGTAACTCTCGTCTAGTGTGTGACTGAAACCCTCAACACGACACACCAAACTAACCGTGAGAGTAGATTATTGTCTGATTATCTGGCTGATACAGTCACTGTTCTGCTGCAGCAGGGACTGTTGTTCAAGCTGACCATGAGTGTTACATTGTTACAGTATCAGCATGAAGTCTGGTCCACATTGCAGCTTATTCTGGTCAAAGAGCGGCCACTTAGACAAGAAGCCTGACATAAAGTGACCAAACACCGTTTGATTTTTATAGTTAGATGCATTTAAATCTAAAGTCGTCTCTAAGAGAGAAGTGGAGTAAACAGTTCAGCTCTCAGATATCTAGTTTACTTGGCATTAAGCGTCTGAATCAAAGCTCAAAGTTAGAACAGGATTTGTGCGGGTCTCAAAAAGATCTTAAAAAGCCGTAATTCACCCTTCCACAAACTAAGGCCTAAAAAGGTTTTAAATAGCAGCAGAAAGTCTTAATTCCATGCAGTCATGGCATTAAATGTTGCGTGAATCTCTTCCTCAGTGTTTTTGTCTTGTTTCCCAGTACACATATCTAAATATCCTTAAATAAAGATACTTTTACTTGAGATGCATGTGAAGTCGTGTTTTCTGAGAAACTGAACAAAATGAAGTGAGTTTATGCTTAAAGAAGAACGAGCGTCTGTCAGAGGGGAATGAAACTTTGATTTTTCTGAGCCCAGTGTCAGAGTTGCTCTTGTTTTAATCAGAAACTCGTCGTTTTGTCCGTTTTCCCAGAAAACAAGACTACTACATTTAAGTCATTTTGCTTCTTCTTCTTGATTTAAGGACCTTGCACTGGAAAACAAGAAATATTGAGGAAGTGCATCACTTTTTTGCAGTGAGATCAGATGGTACAATAAAGTTACTTCCTTATTCTAGTGGTTTGTATCAGAGCTATTGAAGCCATAAGCTTTTTTTGTTTTTGTTTTTGTAAAATGATTTAAAGGGGTCATATGATGCGATTCCAATTGGTTCTTTCTCTTTGGCGTGTTACAAGCTCTTGGTGCATAAAGAGATCTGTAAAGTTGCAAAGAGTTTTGTCCGTTTTCCCAGAAAACAAGACTACTACATTTAAGTCATTTTGCTTCTTCTTCTTGATTTAAGGACCTTGCACTGGAAAACAAGAAATATTGAGGAAGTGCATCACTTTTTTGCAGTGAGATCAGATGGTACAATAAAGTTACTTCCTTATTCTAGTGGTTTGTATCAGAGCTATTGAAGCCATAAGCTTTTTTTGTTTTTGTTTTTGTAAAATGATTTAAAGGGGTCATATGATGCGATTCCAATTGTTCTTTCTCTTTGGCGTGTTACAAGCTCTTGGTGCATAAAGAAGATCTGTAAAGTTGCAAAGACTAAAGTCTCAAATCCAAAGAGATATACTTTATAAAAGTTAAAGTCCCCCTGTAGTGAAAATCAAGTTTTTTATGTTTATTTTGTTTTTAATATGCTTTTAGACAAACCCTGTGCCAATCTATTAATCAACACCATTGCTGTGTATTTTCTCCTAAAACTGTTTCCTAAAGGCTGACCCAGAAATACGGTTTGAAACAGACCTCGGTTTGCTACGTCACAAACACATAACCAATCACGTCAAGGGATCGATTCCTATCACTAGCATGCAAAATATACCAATACCAGCACAAAACCAAAAATAAATGAAAGCAAAAAACCCATGAAGCTGTGGTTTAATGTGAATTTAGAACCGCTAACTTGCATTATAACCCGCGGCAACAGTGTAAAAGTAGCCGGAGTCAGACGCACCTCTCCCGCAGCTGCGTCTGCACTTCACACGCGTTGCTCGCAGGAGCGAATGAACAATCACAAACGGCTGCATTCCAGTCTTCAAGGCATTTTAGGACACAACATCGTCAAGTAAGTAACTTTAACGAATGTTACAGTATTCACTGTATTTGTCCGCTAGTAAAAACATAGTTTTATCAGTCATTATCCGTGTATGCCATTGTTTTG